ATGGTGTCCAGGACTTGTATTCTCAGCAGGGAATGCTGCTGGGAATGGAGATCAGGACCTCTGTTTCCAACAGGGAATGGGGCTGGGCTCTGTTTCCAACAGGGAATGGTGCTGGGATGGAGAGCAGGACCTGTATTTCCAGCAGGGAATGGTGCTGGGAATGGAGATCAGGACCTCTCTTTCCAACAGGGAATGGTGCTGGGCTCTGTTTCCAACAGGGAATGGTGCTGGGATGGTGTCCAGGACCTGTATTTCCAGCAGGGAATGATGCTGGGAATGGAGATCAGGACCTCTGTTTCCAACAGGGAATGGTGCTGGGATGTGTTTGCAACAGGGAATGGTGCTGGGCTCTGTTTCCAACAGGGAATGGTGCTGGGATGGTGCCCAGGACCTGTATTCTCAGCAGGGAATGGTGCTGGGAATGGAGATCAGGACCTCTGTTTCCAACAGGGAATGCTGCTGGGTTGTATTCCCAACAGGGAATGCTGCTGGGTTGTATTCCCAACAGGGAATGATGCTGGGTTGTATTCCCAACAAGGAATGGGGCTGGGTTGTATTCCCAACAAGGAATGGGGCTGGGTTGTATTCCCAACAAGGAATGATGCTGGGTTGTATTCCCAGCAGGGAATGGTGCTGGGTTGTATTCCCAACAGGGAATGATGCTGGGTTGTATTCCCAACAAGGAATGATGCTGGGTTGTATTCCCAACAAGGAATGATGCTGGGTTGTATTCCCAGCAGGGAATGGTGCTGGGTTGTATTCCCTGCAGGGAATGGTGCTGGGTTGTATTCCCAACAAGGAATGATGCTGGGTTGTATTCCCAACAAGGAATGATGCTGGGTTGTATTCCCAACAGGGAATGATGCTGGGTTGTATTCCCAGCAGGGAATGGTGCTGGGTTGTATTCCCAACAAGGAATGATGCTGGGTTGTATTCCCTGCAGGGAATGGTGCTGGGTTGTATTCCCTGCAGGGAATGGTGCTGGGTTGTATTCCCAACAGGGAATGATGCTGGGTTGTATTCCCAACAAGGAATGGTGCTGGGTTGTATTCCCACCAAGGAATGGGGCTGGGTTGTATTCCCAACAGGGAATGATGCTGGGTTGTATTCCCAACAAGGAATGGTGCTGGGTTGTATTCCCAACAAGGAATGGTGCTGGGTTGTATTCCCAACAAGGAATGATGCTGGGTTGTATTCCCAACGGGGAATGATGCTGGGTTGTATTCCCAACAGGGAATGGTGCTGGGTTGTATTCCCAACAGGGAATGATGCTGGGTTGTATTCCCAACAAGGAATGATGCTGGGTTGTATTCCCAACGGGGAATGATGCTGGGTTGTATTCCCAACGGGGAATGATGCTGGGTTGTATTCCCAACGGGGAATGATGCTGGGTTGTATTCCCAACAGGGAATGATGCTGGGTTGTATTCCCAACAAGGAATGATGCTGGGTTGTATTCCCAACAGGGAATGGTGCTGGGTTGTATTCCCAACAAGGAATGGTGCTGGGTTGTATTCCCAACAAGGAATGATGCTGGGTTGTATCCCCAACAAGGAATGATGCTGGGTTGTATTCCCAACAGGGAATGATGCTGGGTTGTATTCCCTGCAGGGAATGGTGCTGGGTTGTATTCCCTGCAGGGAATGATGCTGGGTTGTATTCCCAACAAGGAATGATGCTGGGTTGTATTCCCAACAGGGAATGGTGCTGGGTTGTATTCCCAACGGGGAATGATGCTGGGTTGTATTCCCAACAGGGAATGATGCTGGGTTGTATTCCCTGCAGGGAATGATGCTGGGTTGTATTCCCAACAAGGAATGGTGCTGGGTTGTATTCCCAACAAGGAATGATGCTGGGTTGTATTCCCAACAGGGAATGATGCTGGGTTGTATTCCCTGCAGGGAATGATGCTGGGTTGTATTCCCAACAAGGAATGGTGCTGGGTTGTATTCCCAACAAGGAATGGTGCTGGGTTGTATTCCCAACAAGGAATGATGCTGGGTTGTATTCCCAACGGGGAATGATGCTGGGTTGTATTCCCAACAGGGAATGGTGCTGGGTTGTATTCCCAACAGGGAATGATGCTGGGTTGTATTCCCAACAAGGAATGATGCTGGGTTGTATTCCCAACAGGGAATGATGCTGGGTTGTATTCCCAACGGGGAATGATGCTGGGTTGTATTCCCAACGGGGAATGATGCTGGGTTGTATTCCCAACAGGGAATGGTGCTGGGTTGTATTCCCAACAGGGAATGATGCTGGGTTGTATTCCCAACAAGGAATGATGCTGGGTTGTATTCCCAACAGGGAATGGTGCTGGGTTGTATTCCCAACAAGGAATGGTGCTGGGTTGTATTCCCAACAAGGAATGATGCTGGGTTGTATTCCCAACAGGGAATGATGCTGGGTTGTATTCCCTGCAGGGAATGGTGCTGGGTTGTATTCCCAACAGGGAATGATGCTGGGTTGTATTCCCTGCAGGGAATGATGCTGGGTTGTATTCCCAACAAGGAATGATGCTGGGTTGTATTCCCAACAGGGAATGGTGCTGGGTTGTATTCCCAACGGGGAATGATGCTGGGTTGTATTCCCAACAGGGAATGATGCTGGGTTGTATTCCCTGCAGGGAATGATGCTGGGTTGTATTCCCAACAAGGAATGGTGCTGGGTTGTATTCCCAACAAGGAATGATGCTGGGTTGTATTCCCAACAAGGAATGATGCTGGGTTGTATTCCCAACAGGGAATGATGCTGGGTTGTATTCCCTGCAGGGAATGATGCTGGGTTGTATTCCCAACAAGGAATGGTGCTGGGTTGTATTCCCAACAAGGAATGGTGCTGGGTTGTATTCCCAACAAGGAATGATGCTGGGTTGTATTCCCAACAAGGAATGATGCTGGGTTGTATTCCCTGCAGGGAATGATGCTGGGTTGTATTCCCAACAGGGAATGATGCTGGGTTGTATTCCCAACAAGGAATGATGCTGGGTTGTATTCCCTGCAGGGAATGATGCTGGGTTGTATTCCCTGCAGGGAATGGTGCTGGGTTGTATTCCCTGCAGGGAATGATGCTGGGTTGTATTCCCAACAAGGAATGATGCTGGGTTGTATTCCCTGCAGGGAATGGTGCTGGGTTGTATTCCCAACAAGGAATGATGCTGGGTTGTATTCCCAACAAGGAATGATGCTGGGTTGTATTCCCTGCAGGGAATGATGCTGGGTTGTATTCCCAACAGGGAATGATGCTGGGTTGTATTCCCAACAAGGAATGATGCTGGGTTGTATTCCCAACAAGGAATGATGCTGGGTTGTATTCCCAACAAGGAATGATGCTGGGTTGTATTCCCAACAAGGAATGGTGCTGGGTTGTATTCCCAACAAGGAATGATGCTGGGTTGTATTCCCAACAAGGAATGATGCTGGGTTGTATTCCCAACAAGGAATGATGCTGGGTTGTATTCCCAACAAGGAATGATGCTGGGTTGTATTCCCTGCAGGGAATGATGCTGGGTTGTATTCCCAACAGGGAATGATGCTGGGTTGTATTCCCAACAAGGAATGATGCTGGGTTGTATTCCCTGCAGGGAATGATGCTGGGTTGTATTCCCTGCAGGGAATGGTGCTGGGTTGTATTCCCTGCAGGGAATGATGCTGGGTTGTATTCCCAACAAGGAATGATGCTGGGTTGTATTCCCTGCAGGGAATGATGCTGGGTTGTATTCCCAACAAGGAATGATGCTGGGTTGTATTCCCTGCAGGGAATGATGCTGGGTTGTATTCCCAACAGGGAATGATGCTGGGTTGTATTCCCAACAAGGAATGATGCTGGGTTGTATTCCCAACAAGGAATGATGCTGGGTTGTATTCCCTGCAGGGAATGATGCTGGGTTGTATTCCCAACAAGGAATGATGCTGGGTTGTATTCCCAACAGGGAATGGTGCTGGGTTGTATTCCCAACAAGGAATGGGGCTGGGTTGTATTCCCAACAAGGAATGATGCTGGGTTGTATTCCCAACAAGGAATGGGGCTGGGTTGTATTCCCAACAAGGAATGGGGCTGGGTTGTATTCCCAACAAGGAATGATGCTGGGTTGTATCCCCAACAAGGAATGATGCTGGGTTGTATTCCCAACAGGGAATGATGCTGGGTTGTATTCCCTGCAGGGAATGGTGCTGGGTTGTATTCCCAACAAGGAATGGGGCTGGGTTGTATTCCCAACAGGGAATGATGCTGGGTTGTATTCCCAACAAGGAATGATGCTGGGTTGTATTCCCAACAAGGAATGATGCTGGGTTGTATTCCCAACAGGGAATGATGCTGGGTTGTATTCCCTGCAGGGAATGATGCTGGGTTGTATTCCCAACAAGGAATGATGCTGGGTTGTATTCCCTGCAGGGAATGATGCTGGGTTGTATTCCCTGCAGGGAATGGTGCTGGGTTGTATTCCCAACAAGGAATGGTGCTGGGTTGTATTCCCAACAAGGAATGATGCTGGGTTGTATTCCCAACAGGGAATGATGCTGGGTTGTATTCCCAACAGGGAATGATGCTGGGTTGTATTCCCAACAAGGAATGATGCTGGGTTGTATTCCCAACAAGGAATGATGCTGGGTTGTATTCCCAACAAGGAATGGTGCTGGGTTGTATTCCCAACAAGGAATGATGCTGGGTTGTATTCCCAGCCTGGAGAAGAGAAAGCTCCAGGGAGACCTTAAGAGCAGCTCCAGAGCCTCAAGGGGCTGCAGGAAAGCTGGATGGGGGCTTGGGACAGGGGCTGCAGGGATGGGATGAGGAGGGATGGAACAATCGGATGGGATCTTGGGATCAAGGGAATGGGTCCAAGGCTGCTCCATTCGGTTGGAGGGGGCTTGGAGCCGCGTGCTCCAGCGCAATGGTGTCCCTATGGAAGCGGCTCATCTCCAAGCTCCCTCCTGACCCCCACCACCCCGCTCCAGAAGGTTCTGCCCCATTCCCAAGGTGATTCCCAACGTCCCTTCCCAGGGTGACCCAGTGCAAGTACAAGCGCATCGGCTGCCCCTGGCAGGGCCCTTACCACGAGCTGACGGTGCACGAGGCCGAGTGCACGCACCCCACGAAGACCGGGAACGAGCTCATGGACATCCTGGATGAGATGGACCAGACGCGCAAGAAGGAGATGCAGCTCTACAACAGCATCTTCAACCTGCTCAGCTTCGAGAAGATCGGCTACACAGGTAAAGCCGGCGCCATCCTCATCCTCACCATCCTCATCCTCATCCCCATCCCTGTCCCCATCCCCATCCTCATCCCCATCCTCATCATCATCCTCAGCATCCTCATCCCCATCCCTGTCCCCATCCCCATCCTCAGCATCCTCATCGCCATCCCCGTCCTCCTCACCATCCTCCTCATCCCCATCCTTCATCCCCATCCCTGTCCCCATCCTCATCCTCAGCATCCTCATCCTCAGCATCCTCATCCTCAGCATCCTCATCCTCACCATCTTCATCCTCACCATCCTCATCCTCATCCCCATCCCTGTCCCCATCCCCATCCTCAGCATCCTCATCGCCATCCCCATCCTCCTCACCATCCTCCTCATCCCCATCCTTCATCCCCATCCCTGTCCCCATCCTCATCCTCACCATCCTCATCCTCACCATCCTCATCCTCACCATCCTCATCCTCATCCCCATCCCTGTCCCCATCCCCATCCTCAGCATCCTCGCCATCCCCGTCCTCCTCACCATCCTCCTCATCCCTGTCCTCCTCACCATCCTCCTCATCCCCATCCTTCATCCGCATCCCTGTCCCCATCCTCATCCTCACCATCCTCGTCCTCACCATCCTCATCCTCACCATCCTCATCCTCACCATCCTCATCCCCATCCCTGTCCCCATCCCCATCCTCAGCATCCTCATCGCCATCCCCGTCCTCCTCACCATCCTCCTCATCCCCATCCCTGTCCCCATCCTCATCCTCACCATCCTCATCCCCATCCCTGTCCCCATCCTCATCCTCAGCATCCTCATCGCCATCCCCGTCCTCCTCACCATCCTCCTCATCCCCATCCCTGTCCCCATCCTCATCCTCACCATCCTCATCCTCAGCATCCTCATCCTCATCACCTTCCCCCACCCCCATCCTCAGCATCCTCATCCCCATCCTCACCATCCTCATCCTCAGCATCCTGATCCTTCATCCCCATCCTCTTCACCCTCATCCCCATCCCTGTCCCCATCCCCATCCCCATCCTCAGCATCCTCATCCTCATCGCCATCCCCGTCCTCCTCCCCATCCTCCTCATCCCCATTCTTCATCCCCATCCTCCTCACCCTCATCCTCATCCCTGTCCTCATCCTCAGCATCCTCATCCTCATCCCCGTCCTCATCCCCATCCTCATCATCCTCATCCCCATCCTGCATCCCCATCCCCATCCTCATCCCCATCCTCATCCCTATCTTCCTCATCCCCATCCCTGTCCCCGTCCTCATCCTCCATCCCCATCCTCCATCCCCATCCTCATCCCCATCCTCATCCCCATCCTCATCCCCATCCTCATCATCATCCTCATCCCCATCCCTATCCTCCATCCTCATCCTCATCCCCATCCCTATCCTCCATCCTCATCCTCATCCGCATCCTCCATCCTCATCCCCATCCTCATCCCCATCCCCATCCTCATCCCCATCCTCCATCCCCATCCTCATTCCCATCTGCATCCTCATCCTCATCATCCTCATCCTCATTATCCTCATCCCCATCCTCATCCTCATCTACATCCCCATCCCCATCCTCCATCCGCATCCTCATCCCTATCCCTGCTCCCGGCCCCACTGTGCTGCTGGGGGGGTTTGGGATAGGGCTTGGATGCTGATCCCGGTTGGAATGTGGGGACTTGCCTTGGGGCAGTGGGGTTAAAGCCAGGCCCAGGACCATGCTTTGGGGCTGGGGTGGGCTTGAAACGGGGCTGGAGGCAAGAGTGGGGTGGGGGTGATCCCGCTTGTCCATCCCTCCCTGTTTCCTCCCCTTCTCCTCCCTCTCCCCCCTTTTCCTTTTCCTTTTCCTTTTCCTTTTCCTTTTCCTTTTCCTTTTCCTTTCCCTTCCCTTTTCCCCTTCCCTTTTCCCCTTCCCTTTTCCCCTTCCCTTTTCCCCTTCCCTTTTCCCCTTCCCTTTTCCCCTTCCCTTTTCCCCTTCCCTTTTCCCCTTCCCTTTTCCCCTTCCCTTTTCCCCTTCCCTTTTCCCCTTTCCTTTTCCCTTTCTTTTTCCCTTTCCTTTTCCTTCCCCCCACTTTTCCTTCTCCTTCTTCCACCCTTCCCCTCCCTTTTTTCTCCTCCTTCTCCCCGTTCTTCTCCTTTCTCCTCCCTGCCTTACTCCCACTTTTCCTCCTCCCCCTTTTCCCCTCGTCCCCCTTTTTCCCCTCCTTCTCCCCCTTTTCCCCTCCTTCCCCCCCCTTTTTCCCCTCCTTCTCCCCCTTTTTCCCCTTTTTGTCTTCCTTTTTCCCCTCCTCCTCCCCCTTTTCCCCTCCTTTTCCTCCTTTTTCCCCTCTTTCTCCCCCTTTTCCCCTCCTTCTCCCCCCTTTTTCCCCTCCCTTTCCCCCTTTTCCTGCCCCTTTTCCCCCTTCTCCTCCTCCCTGTCTCTCCTGCCACTCCACCAGGCACCATTAAAGCCCTTTGGTGGCCACCAGTGGTTGCCAGCCCATTGTATGGCATTGGCCAAGCCCATTGATGCCTGGTGACCATTGCATGGCATTGGCCAAGCCCATTGATGCCTGGTGACCATTGCATGGCATTGACCAAGCCCATTGATGCCTGGTGACCATTGCATGGCATTGGCCAAGCCCATTGATGCCTGGTGACCATTGCATGGCATTGACCAAGCCCATTGATGCCTGGTGACCATTGCATGGCATTGGCCAAGCCCATTGATGCCTGGTGACCATTGCATGGCATTGACCAAGCCCATTGATGCGTGGTGACCATTGCATGGCATTGACCAAGCCCATTGATGCCTGGTGACCATTGCATGGCATTGGCCAAGCCCATTGATGCCTGGTGACCATTGCATGGCATTGGCCAAGCCCATTGATGCCTGGTGACCATTGCATGGCATTGACCAAGCCCATTGATGCCTGATGACCATTGCATGGCATTGACCAAGCCCATTGATGCGTGGTGACCATTGCATGGCATTGGCCAAGCCCATTGATGCCTGGTGACCATTGCATGGCACTGACCAAGCCCATTGATGCCTGGTGACCATTGCTTGGCATTGACCAAGCCCATTGATGCCTGGTGACCATTGCATGGCATTGACCAAGCCCATTGATGCCTGGTGACCATTGCATGGCATTGACCAAGCCCATTGATGCCTGATGACCATTGCATGGCATTGACCAAGCCCATTGATGCCTGGTGACCGTTGCATGGCATTGACCAAGCCCATTGATGCCTGGTGACCGTTGCATGGCATTGACCAAGCCCATTGATGCCTGGTGACCGTTGCATGGCATTGGCCAAGCCCATTGATGCCTGGTGACCGTTGCATGGCATTGACCAAGCCCATTGATGCCTGGTGACCGTTGCATGGCATTGACCAAGCCCATTGATGCCTGGTGACCATTGCATGGCATTGACCAAGCCCATTGATGCCTGGTGACCATTGCATGGCATTGACCAAGCCCATTGATGCCTGGTGACCATTGCATGGCATTGGCCAAGCCCATTGATGCCTGGTGACCATTGCATGGCATTGGCCAAGCCCATTGATGCCTGGTGACCATTGCATGGCATTGACCAAGCACATTGATGCCTGGTGACCATTGCATGGCATTGACCAAGCCCATTGATGCCTGGTGACCATTGCATGGCATTGACCAAGCCCATTGATGCCTGGTGACCATTGTATGGCATTGGCCAAGGGGTGCCTGGTGACCATTGCATGGCATTGGCCAAGCCCATTGATGCCTGATGACCATTGCATGGCATTGACCAAGCCCATTGATGCCTGGTGACCATTGCATGGCATTGGCCAAGCCCATTGATGCCTGGTGACCATTGCATGGCATTGGCCAAGCCCATTGATGCCTGGTGACCATTGCATGGCATTGACCAAGCCCATTGATGCCTGGTGACCATTGCATGGCATTGACCAAGCCCCTGCTTTCCCTTCCCCTGCCCATCTCCCATCAACCTCCGTTGCTCGCCTCCCCCATCCTCCCTTCAACCACCCCCTTCGTTGACCCCTTCTTTCGGTTGGGGGGGTGGGGGGGGCTCGGGGCTGTCTCTTTCTCCTACGGCAGAGGTCCAGTTCCGCCCGTACCGCACCGACGACTTCATCACGCGCCTCTACTACGAGACGCCGCGCTTGACCGTGCTCAACCAGACGTGGGTGCTGAAGGCGCGCGTCAACGACTCCGAGCGCAACCCCAACCTCTCGTGCAAGCGCACGCTCTCCTTCCAGCTCATCCTCAAGAGCAAGATCAACTCGCCCATGGAGTGCTCCTTCCTGCTGCTCGAGGGGCCCTACGACGACGTCAAGATCCGGCCCGTCATCTACCACTTCGTCTTCAGCAACGAGAGCAACGAGACGGATTACATGGCGCTGCCCATCGTCGACTCGGTGGAGTGCAACAAACTGCTGGCGGCCAAGAACATCAACCTGAGGCTTTTTATATTTCAGATCCAGAAGTGAGACTGGGGAGACAGAGAAACACGGGGGAAAAGGAAAAACCGGGGAAAAAACCCAAAAAACTGGGGAAAAAAAGACCCCAAAACCTGGGGAAAATACAGAAAACCTGGGGAAAATACAGAAAACCTGGGGAAAATACAGAAAACCTGGGGAAAATACAGAAAACCTGGGGAAAATACAGAAAACCTGGGGAAAATACAGAAAACCTGGGGAAAATACAGAAAACCTGGGGAAAATACAAGAAACCTGGGGAAAATACAGAAAACCTGGGGAAAATACAAAAAACCTGGGGGAAAAAACCCAAACCTGGGGAAAATACAGAAATGGTGGGGAAAGCCACAAAAAACCTGGGGAAAAGACAAAAAACCTGGGAAAAAAACCCCAAACCTGGGAAAAATACAGAAAACCTGGGGAAAATACAGAAAACCTGGGGAAAATAGAAAAATTGTGGGGAAAACCACAAAAAAACCTAGGAAAAATACAGAAAACCTGGGGAAAATACAAAAATTGTGGGGAAAACTACAAAAAACCTGAGGAAACACAAAAAAAAACTCGGAAAAAACGCCCCAAACCTGGGAAAAACGCAGAAAACCTGGGGAAAATTAAAAAATGGTGGGGAAAACCACAAAAAACCTGGGGAAAACACAAAAAAAAAGGGGGAAAAACCCCCCAAAACCTGGGAAAAATACAGAAAACCTGGGGAAAATACAAAAATCGTGGTGAAAACCACAAAAATCCTGGAGAAAACACAAAAACCTGAGGGAAAAAACCCAAACCTGGGAAAAATATAGAAAACATGAGAAAAATACAAAAATTGTGGGGAAAAGACAAAAAACCTGGGAAAAAATGTCCAAAACCTTGGAAAAATGCAGAAAACCTGGGGAAAACAGAAAAATCGTGGGGAACCCCCTCCCCAAAAACAGGTAAAAATACAGAAAACCTGGGAAAACCACAAAAATCTTGGGAAAAAAAACACAAAAACCTGGGAACCCCTCCCAAAAACCAGGGAAAAAGACGAAAAGAACTGGGAAAACCCCCAAAAACCTGGGAAAAAACCGCAAAAAAACTTGGAAAACCCACAAAAACTGAGAGAAAACTCAAAAAGCCTGGGTCCCCCCCCAAAAACGTGGGAAAAACCACAAAAAAACTGGGGAAAACCCTGGGGAAAAGACAAAAAACCTGGGAAAAACCCCCAAAACTTTGGGAAAAACCTGGGAAAACCACAAAAAAAAATGGGAAATCCCCCAAAACCTGGGAAAACCACAAAAAAAAGGGGGAAAAAACCTCAAAAAACTGGGAAAAAAAGCCACAAAACCTGGGAAAAATCTGGCAAAAAAACTGGGAAAAACACAAGAAACCTGGGAAAACCCCCCAAAACCTGGGAAAGCCACAAAAAAATGGGAAAAAAACCTTCAAAATTTGGGTCCCCCCCCCCAAAACCTGGGAAAAAAAAACCTGGGAAAAAAAAACCACGAACTGGGAACACCCCCCGAAACTGGGAGAAACCTGGCAAAAAACCTGGGAAAACCCCCCAAAAAGTGGGAAAACCACAAAAAAATGGGAAAAACCTCCAAAATCTGGGGGAAAAAAAAAACCAAAACCTGGGAAAAAAAACCCAGAAATGGGAAACCCCCCCATAAATTGGGAAAAACCTGGCAAAAAACCTGGGAAAAGCACAAAAAAAACTGGGAAAACCCCCAAAAAACTGGGAAAACCACAAAAAAAAAATGGGAAAATCCTCCAAAAGCTGGGGGAAAAAAAAAACAAAAAATGGGAAAAAACCCCACAAACTGGGACCCCCCTCCGAGAAACTGGGAAAAACCTGGCAAAAAACCCGGGAAAAACACAAAAAAACTGGGAAAACCCCCGAAAAACTGGGAAAACCACAAAAAAAATGGGAAAAACCTCCAAAATCTGGGGGAAAAAAAACCACAAACTGGGAACCCCCCCCGAGAAACTGGGAAAAACCTGGCAAAAAACCTGGGAAAACCACAAAAAACCTGGGAAAACCCCCAAAAACTGGAAAAAACACCCAGAAAACTGGGAAACCCCACAAAAAAAAGTGTGAAAAAAACCCCAAAACCCTGGGAAAAAGACAAAAAAAGTGGGAAAACTCCCCAAAACCCTGGGAAAACCGGGACACAAATGGGAGCAAAACCCCACGAGGAACTTGGAGAACTCCCGAGAGCCTCGGCAAATCCCTTTGGAAGCGCCGCCGAGGCCCCTGCAAGCATCAAAGAAGATGGGAAACGGCCCCAAAATGCCCCAAAATACCCCAAAACCACCCTAATAAAAAGGCTGCGGTAGAGCTCAAACCGGGCCCCTGAAAACCCCAAAGAAAGGTGAAGAAACCCCCCCAAAATGTCCCAATTGGGCCAAACGGACCCAAATAAAGACCCCGATAAACCTAAAGAAAAAACCCCAAAGAACGTCCCCAAAACCCCTCTTAAAACCTAAACTAAGGCCCCAAAAAAGCCCCAAAAGACCCCAAAATCAGCTCCCAAAACCTCAGTGTATTGCCCCCAAAACCCCTCAAAATGGCCTCAAAAAGGCAAAATTTGGGCCAAATGAACTCAAATCCGTCCCCCCCAAAACCCCCCTAAAAAGGTAAAACCCAAAAACCGGGAATGAGGTCAAAAGAAGCCCTGAAAACACCCCAAAAAAGACCCCAAACTGCCCCAAATAGACCTTAAATTTGGCCCTAGGAGTCTAAAGAAAAGACCCCAGAAAACCCCCAAAAAAGGTCCCAAAATCCTCAAAAAACACCCCAAAAAAACCCTAAAAGCAAGGTTTCAACCCCCCTCTGAAAAGGCCCCCAAAACAAGGTCAAAAAAACCCCAAAACGGCCGGAAAAACCTCAAAACCAGACCCCAGAAAGTCAGAATTAGACCCAAAGAACTCAAAACCCCAAGAAACGCCCCAAAACCGCCTTTGAAACTCACAAAAGGCACCAAAACCCCTAAAAGTGGCCCCAAAAAGACACAAAATAACCCCCAAAAGAGACCCCGAGAAACTCTCAAAATTACCCCCAAAAGACTCAAAAACGGCCCCCAAAAAGCTCAAATCCCCCCAAAAGTCCAGAAAATGTTCCATAACCCCCCAAAAAAACTCAAAAAAGCAAAATCTGACTCAAAAAATGACCCAAAAAAATAAAGACCCCCAAAAAGACCTAAAAATTGGGCCCGAGAGACTCAAAAAAGCCTCAAAACCCCCAAAAGGCTCCAAGAAACTCATGGAAAGAGGTGAAAACCCCTAAAAATGACCCCAAACCACTCAAAAATTGGCCCCCAAAAACGCCAAAAATGGCCCTGAAAGACCCAAAAGTCCAAGAAACGCCCCAAAAATGCCCCAAAAGACCTAGAAATGGCCCCAAAAATTTCCTCCGAAACCCCCTCAAAAACGGCCCCAAAACATCCCCTAAAATGTCAAAAAACGCCAACGAAAGCATCAAACACCCCCAAAACCTCAAAATTGCCCCAAACCCCTCAAAAATGCCCTAAAACGCCCCGGAAACACCCGAAAACCCTAAAAAATCCCGTGAGAAACCCCGTCGAAATCCCAAAAATTCAAAAATCCTAAAAAATTCCGCAAAAATCGAAGCAGAAACGGCCAAAATCCACCCAAAAATCCCAACGGATCCCGTGCGGCCCCTCCCCCACCGCTGGGATTTCGCCGGAAAAGTGGGAATTGGACCCAAAATCCATCGGGATCGGCGCCGGAAAAGGGGGGGGGGGGAGGGGTTGTGGGGGTGGGGGAGGGGCGGCTCCTCCGGATGTTTTACTTGCGTAGAATAAACCAAAATGGGAATTTTCCAAATTTTGGGAGGATTTTGGGGGGAAATTTGGAGATTCCGATGTGGAATGGGGGAATTCCGCATCCGGGGGGGGGGCAAAACAGAGGGGTCCTGCCCCTCCCCCACCGGAAAACGAGGAGGGGGGAGGGGAGGGCATTCCGAGGAATTTTGTTGTCAAAATGTGCATTTTGGAGGGTTTTGGTGGTTTTTTGTTGCTTAAAATCTGAATTTGGGGCATTTCCCTCAAAACTTGAAATTTAGGGATTTTTTTTTTCCTCAGAATTTGAATTTTGGATCTTTTTCCTCAAATCTTGAATTTTGGGAATTTTTCCTCAAAACTTGAGATTTAGCATGTTGGGTTTTCTTAAAAATTGAATTTTGGTTTGTTTTCCTTAAAACTTGAAGTTTGGGGGCTATTTTTTTCCTCAAAATTTGAATTTTTGGGATGTTTTTCCCTTAGAACTTCAATTTTGGATTTTTTCCCTCAAAATCTGAATTTTGAGATTTTCTTTCCCTCAAAATTGAATTTGGGATTTTTTCCTCAAAAGTTAAGGTTTAGCATGTTGGGTTTTCTTAAAAAATGAATTTTGTGTTTTTTTTCCCTCAAAACTTGAATTTTAGGGTATTTTTTTCCCTCAAAATTTGAATTTCTTTTTTTTTTTTCCCATTGGAACTTCAATTTTGGATTTTTCCCCTCAAAACCTGAATTTGGGGAATATTTCCCCCTCCAAATTTGAATTTGAGATTTTCCCTCAAAATTTGAGGTTTTCTTTTGTTCCCCCCTCAAAACTCCAGGTTTTTGGTATTTCCCCCCTCCCCCCACCAAAATACAAGCGTTTTGGTTGCTTCTTTTTCCCAAAACCTTCACATTTTGGTTTTTTACCCCAAAATTGATATTTTTGGGTTGTTTTTCAAACTTTCAGGTTCTTGTTTCCTGCTATTTAAGGTCTTTTGTGAGGTTTTTCCCCCCAAACTTGAAGGTTTTGGGGTCTTTTTTCCCCCAATTCTTAAGGATTTGTTTGGTTTTCCCCAAAAATCTTTGGTATTTTGGTGTTTTCCCCAAAAGTTGAGAATTTGGTTGGGTTTTTGTGTTATTTTTGGGGTTTTTTTTATTAATTTTCTTGGTGTTTGTGTCATTTTTTATTTTAAAATTTGTGGTTTTAACAAAAAAAGATTTTCTTTTAATACCAAATTTAGGGAATTCTTGTCGTTTAACAAA